CACATGTTGAATATATACTGTCTGTCAATATCCCTCGGCATAACCCTCCAATATCTATCAACCTGGCTGTCATTCGCCGCTTTGAACATCACAATCAGGATGCCAATCACCCATGGTCTCTATGGTAAGCCTACAATTGGTTATAATACAAGTTCCAATGACTTACGAACTGCAACATCAGTAAAACCTCACTTTTATTTTTGGTGATGAATCCTAATTTATCCTTATTTTCTCACTTTAACTGGGTTTGAGGAGCCATTGGGGTGACATGAAAGAGACGGCGGAAAAATTGAGAAAAAGGCCACTCGCCCTCTGAATTCTACTTTATTGCTCTTAAAAGTCACTTACTAGGCATTGACCGACAAAAAAAGCAGTAATAATAGTGCAAACGGCGTCACATTGTCCAATACAAAGTACAAAACATTGGTTAAAATGGAGTAAATGGCGACGTGAAGTGTGAAAAAGTGGTCAAAATAGGAAGAAAGGGCAGTGATTGTAAGAGCGAAAATGAATGTAAAACGAAAGAAAAGGAGATTAAAGGATATGAAATGCAGATAATGAAAAACAAAACGAGCAAACTGGAGCGATGGTGGGATAGGCAAAATGCAATGGTTTGAAGACGGGCGCTGCACAATTGGAAACTTGCAGTGAGCAGTGCAGAAATGACATCTATAGAATGATATCAGCTCGTCAATAAAGGAAAAAAAGAATCAATCTTCGTTACCACAGGATGGCGCGGATGTCAACGGCCTCTGAGCCGTCATCATCAGTGCGAAAGTACTTCTGGAGGCCGACACTGCCCGATTTCTTCAGCAATTTCCGAGCCGTTAATGTTGTGGTCCTCATGTAGTCGTCTCCTTTCGCCTTGATAGCAACCACGTATGATGCAGTTACTGATCCCCAGTTGTTGATGGAGAAGGCATTCTCGGTAGTGCTATCCTTGCCAGTGGCCTTGTTGAAGGTCTTCAGTGTCCGCAGCTTGCGCTTCATTTGTGCGGGACCCAGATCTAGGGTGTCCACATCAATGTCAATGGCATTGACACGGAGACGTTTGATGGCGCGCTCGAGCTGTAGAATTATCAGTAATGTTACTTGAATGTACAGAGTACTTACTGAAGCTGCACAAATGCCAATAACACCAGTCATCCCGACGATGGACAGCACATATGTTTTAAGTGCGGGGACTTCAACATGCCCGAGAATGGCATGAAGATGAGTGGTTGCGAAGAGCTGCAACATGAATGGAGACCGGAAGGCTTGCATCGGGTCTAGGTTTTCCATGTCCTCATAAATGAAAGCGAAGTCCTCCAGAAGCGCGTCAGCAAGTGTTTCTGGATCAGTGTCAGCATTCCTAGTGAAAAAATCCATCATAATAGCCAGTCCCGTTGATCCAAAATTGCTGCGCCACTCTGCGAGACGTTGGGTGGCCTGATTGAGATTGTAACCATTAGTAATAGTGACAGAAAAAAAATGCGACTTACAACGCCAAAGACAGACCCTTGAGCGGTCACCTTGTAATCAAGATCTGATTCTTCTGAATACACGACATCATAAATGGATTGGAGTGCCTTGACCAGAGGAGCGTCTAAGAATTGCCAGAGGTCATTTTGACTCCCGGTCCACAGGTAAAGTGTTGGGAGGAACTGCTTCGGCCACCGTTGATCTTGGCAATGAGGAGGGAGATGATAGTTTCGGTAGCTTGAGCGCGTCTTGTATTGCTTCTCAATCCAATAGCCAGGTGGGGCTGTGAGCGTTAGTTGCGCGGTGCTGGCATCAACGTCCTCTTCAATTTTCACCTTCTTTGCAGGTGGTTGCATCTTTGTGGTGGCCGACTGGGAGACGGCGACGGCAGTCTGTCAGAGAATATAAGTTGTGATAATCATCAATAAAATAAGCTTACCAAAGAGGTCAAACACATAGCCGTCTTCGTTGTATTGGCCATTGCGACAGGGCCTAAAGGGACATCAATAACCTCAACATCTGATGTATCCTCGTAGGGGGTACTCTCCAAGACGAGGGTGGAGGATTTGGTGTCTGCAAGCTTGCGCTTTTTACTCCGACGGAACAAGATTCCATCGCTTAGGCTGCTGTCACTGTCCACCGCCTTGGACATCCTGGCATCTTTGCCCTCAAACAAATTGTCCTCCAGGTCCACCAATGCATCGTCCAGGTCCATCGGTGCGTCGATATCAATATCCTGTAAGTCCTCTGTTGAAGACAGCGCATCCTCAGGCATTGCATCTGAGGTAATCTATATAATTGGCTTTGTGCATTAGAATTAGAATTTATTACAAAACATCTAGTACGCACCCTAAGTGAAGACTGCTTCCCCTTTGTCTTTTGAATGAAGGCATCCAAACGTTCCTGAGAATCATCTGACTCATCATCAAAGCCGCCAACAAGAGCCTTGGGAGCGTCAGATGCATTAGCTAGAGCAGGGGGGGCCTTAGATTTGGAGGACTTGGTAGTTATGGCCAAAACTGATGTAGCGCAGGAACTGGATAAAGCACTGCTTGGTGGCCCATGCGCCAATGACAAAGCTGAGGCAGTGGTACGAGTCTTAGAAGCGCTGGAAGTTTTGAGTAGTTCGGTTGCGTCTGGTGAAATATCAGAAATCCAACCATCAATGCGCTTTATCAATGAAAACTTGGGGTTGGTCCTGAATTTTGAGGTCAAGTTAAGAAAAAAAAGAGTCGATTCAGTCAGCATCAACATCGTGGTTTTGATCAGAACAAAAAGACACATGTCGCGGTAGAAGACTTTCCTTTCTTGTCGCCAACACGTGGCCCCTGAATTAACTCAACCTTTCCTGTGAGTGAGCCTCGTGCATTGTTGATTGCGTCCTTCAGAGACGTTTTGACGGCCCTCTGGTTCTTCTTCTTTGTTCCGTCCTCAATGTTGGTGTCCTGGCTGCTTTCTTCTTGGTCCTCGACGCCGGTACCAGCCTTGGGTGAGTCAGTATTCATGATACTAGTAACACCAGCGCTTCCTGCTGCCAGGAGCTTCTTACTGGTTTGGCAGGCACTACTTTTTTCTTGACAGGGCGAGCACGGGGTTTGACTGGCTTTGGTTTAGTTGCCACGCCTTGTTCCTCTGCCTCCTCCATCTCCATCTGCATTGCAGCAAGCCACTGCAGCCCGCTCTTGAGCTTGGTGGGCTTCCTCAAGGATTTTGTCGTCCTCTGCTTTCTGGGCCTTGCCACGTCGCAGAACCTGTCCTTGCACTGGCAGGTCTGGCAAGCCCGGGTGTTTGAACTTATTGTCTCGGCGAGTGCGGATTCCCTCAGTGATATCGGACATAATTGCTGACAAGTAGCAGATTAAATGAGTGCTGCGGCAAGCTTGAGATGGGTGAAAAAAATGTCAAGGACAACGTGTAGTTGAAGTTTGACTGCAAATTTGTAAGTTCCTTACTTAAATCAACCCGAAACTTTAAAGGTTCAATTCGTCAGTCTAGTCATTTACAGCGTCCTTTGCAACTGGGTCCGCATGTGTACTGAATTGTCCTTAATTGACGTAAGTTTGCCGTCTTTCTTTTCAACTTTGCTGTTTGCTAGAGCTCTCACCTTTCAACGCGCAGATTTCCAAGCTAACATAGGCAATCCTTCCACCTTTGAACGCACAGATTTCCTATTGGTGATTTTTCCTCTTTTCAATGTGCCAGAGCTACTAGTACTGACAATCCTTCACCTTTCAACGCGTGAACCGCCAGAACTAATACTGGCAGTCCTTCCAGTGTGCGAACCACCAGAGCTAATACTGGTAATCCTTCCGCCTTTCAACACACAGATCTCTGATTGGTGAGTTTTCCACCTTTCAATGTACAAATCGCCAGAACTGAACATCATTCTAGTCTAGTATTGCTGCAATGCCCGATAACATTCCACGGAGTCAACTACGCCGTCGCGACCATAGTTCGCTCCAACTACCATGTAGAAGTTGTCCAAGGTGGTTCAAAATGCAGTCTTCATCCGGTAATGACTGCTAATTCTGTATGTAGGATGAAATAGCTAAGGACCCGAGCACGCTCGGCTCTACGTTTGTCCCTGTCATCCTTGGCAGTGACAAAACAACAGTTTCAGTCGGGACAGGTAATAATGAGTATTATCCGCTATATGCCTCAATTGGGAACATTCGCAACAATGTTCGACGAGCCCATCGTGATGGAGTAGCAGTCATTGGCTTCCTTGCTATGCCGAAAAGTGCATCGTGGTGCGGGCTTCTACGATAATGACTAACTGATTTTTACAGCTACAAAGGAACATGCTACCGAGGCAGTGTTCCGAAAATTCCAGTCGACAGCTGTTCCATTCGTCACTCTCCAAGATTCTCAACACGCTGAAACCAGGCATGACAACCCCCGAAGTCACCCGTTTTGGAGACGGTCACTACCGTTGGGTTATATACGGACTAGGGCCATACATAGCAGATTATGAGGAGCAAGCGCTGTTAGCATGTATCAGTGCGTGGTTGGTGCCCTAAGTACAGTTTTTGTCATCTAGTATGTATCTTTGTATAAGTTACAATTTTTTTTGCAGATGTATGGCATCTCGCGAGGATCTCGACGAAGATGTGTTACGTCGTTGTCAGCGAATACACAGAAGCACTCGTTCAAGAAGGTTCCTTAGGTGACCTGTGGGATGACTTTGGAATAGTCGGGGAACTTGTAGTATGTGAATCAGCGCACTCCTTGCAGCACCGTTCTTAATGATCTTATTTTAACAGGCATTTACGAACGACTTCCCCAGAGCTGACATCCATCAGATGATCTCACCGGATATTCTCCATCAACTCATCAAAGGAGCATTCAAGGACCACCTCGTCGAATGGGTCGAGAAATACCTCAGACACACGCATACGAAATGAAAGGCGGATCAAATTATGGATGATATTGATTGCAGGTAAGCTTGACCGCATTTAGACTACATAACATTACTCATTGTCTTAGAATTGCCACTGTCGCCTCATTTTCAGGCTTGCGACGATTTCCTCAGGGACGTGGCTTCAAGCAATGGACAGGAGATGATTCGAAGGCCCTGATGAAGGTAATTCATCAATTTAGTCATGCTATGGTCGCAGAACTTATTAATTCTTCAGGTCTACTTGCCTGCCATCGAGGGTCATGTACCCGTAGATGTCGTGCGCACCTTTCGTGCACTTCTCGAATTTTGTTACCTAGTCCGTCGTAACATAATCACAGAAGACACTCTAGTCGAAATCGAAGACGCTCTCTCACGCTTTCACCATTACCGTAACATCTTCAGGACGACAGGAGTGGTTCCTACCTTTTCCCTACCTCGTCAACATTCACTCAAGCACTATATCCAAAACATACGATTGTTTGCTGCACCGAACAGGCCTCTGCTCATCGATTACTGAAAACAAGCACATCAAAGCGGTCAAGGAGCCATGGAGACGATCCAGCCGTTATAATGCACTTGGTCAAATACTTGTGACCAACCAACGGCTCGACAAACTTTCCGCAGCACGAGCTGACTTCACACGTCGGGAATGTTAACTGGTACTTGCCTCTCAGTAACTATGGACGCCTTGGGTGGGTAAACAGTTCGTGAGATATCCTATATACTAATGTGCACAATAGTACCCGCACAGCAGATCAATGAACTTGATGAAAATGTGCCGGCACCAGCACCAGCACCAGCACCAGCACCTCTGCTGATCGGCATCGATGAGGACCTGGAAATTGATGATGGTCCGACGGTTCTACAAGCTTATGTCCAGCTGGCGAAAACACGCCGTAAGACTTCTTTTTCTTCCTTTTGAATGTCCTAATAAACTATGTACAGAGGGCAAAAAACGTGCTCAAACTATTCCTGCACTTGCCGAAGAACTCAATATTCCTAGTCTACCTGACCTCCTCAGACGCTTCTTATTCCAACAGTTGCATCCTAAAGATCCTCGCGACCCATCTAATATACCCCTCGCCAAATGTCCCCTCTATCTTAGCAAAATCTCGGTCTTCAATTCCGCATCATCACGATTCTATGCGCCGAGTGATTTGAGCGGGATCGGTGGTATGCGTGTTGAACACATTCGTTCTTGCCCCATCTGGCGGAACGAGTACCAGTGCCATGACTGTGTTTTCGTCAACACAGACTCCAGTTTGCCTGGCATGCAAGGCCTCGAAGTCGCCCGTGTTCGTGCATTTTTCTCATTCAGGTACCGGGGCAGGTTATATCCCTGTGCTCTAATAAGCTGGTTCGACAAAGTTGGCGACGCCCCAGATGAAGATACAGGAATGTGGATAGTTCGTCCTGGATTTGGAGCAGACAGTGCTCCAGGGTACGTGGTCATTCATATTGACTCTATTTATTGTGCTGCGCATCTTATTCCCATGTATGGCGTGCAATTTGTGCCCCGGGAGCTCAAATTTTATCATTCATATGACGCATTTCAAGCCTACTATGTGAACAAATACGCTGATCACCACGCATTCGAGATTGCATTTTGACTTCACTTTGTTTTGGATACTAGCGTGTAGCTACTTAAACACAATTTGACTATATACTACTATTTTCGTTCTGAACGTGCCTTATTTCCCTTTGCACCGACAATTTCACTTAGCCACTCTGTGGCGCCTTTGAGAAAATTCAGGACACCCAATTAACACTCCTTATATTCATTTTCGCGCCTTAGCGCTGGCGCCAAGGCGGGTAAAGTGAGATAATAGCAGAAAATAAAAGTGAGGTTTTACTGATGTGACATATCATTCTTTTCGTTTTTCAGCTTGACCTCGAGACTGTCAATGTTCGCGAAGGTGGTGTCCACCGCATCCTACTTGGTGGTGGTTCAACGTTGCAACATCTGCACGCGTCCTATGGGAACGTCTTTTGCTACAGCTAATACTTAAGAAGGAAAATGTCGACCGTGAACACACGTGTCTCTGTTTCACATATGTGGGGTAGCTGAGAGGAAAATGTAACGATACTGGGAGGAGTCTCGAAGGACTTGGAAGTGAGAAATTACAAAGCATTTTTATAACTTCAGTCTTTCATATGTTCCTAGTGCTTTGCTCGCCTGACACTGTATCGAATAAATCATGGACGCATGCTGAGATTTACCCTTGTCCATTTCAAATTGATCATAAGTATATCCTTTTCGAGCTAGGTCCTGCATGAAATTGCTATATTACATGGCCCGATAAATAATTGTTAGTTACCTCTCTTAAACCGATATCTCTGCGGACCTCTGGCGCTTGAACTCTTTCACAGTTCACTCTTCCACACTCTCAAACATCATGAAAGCTGTCGTTCTCGGTGCTGCAGGTATCGTAGTACCTCCTTATCTACGCGATCGCTTAGATCCCTTAATCATCTATAGGTGGTATCGGCCAGCCGTTATCGCTTCTCCTAAAGGCCAACCCTGCTGTGACAGAGGTAAAGTGTTCGAGACACGCATCCAGCTCAGATGATGACTTATATATCTTATGCAGCTTGCTCTTTATGATATTGTGAACTCTCCCGGAGTGGCCGTGGACCTTTCCCATATCGCTACCCCTGCCAAAGTCCAAGGATTCCTACCTCCCGATGATGGTCTCAAGAAAGCACTGACTGGTGCTAATGTCGTTGTGATTCCTGCTGGTATTCCCAGAAAGCCTGGTGTGAGTTCTCGTGTACAAACCTCAAATCAAACAATAGCTCACGAGATTTCTTAGATGACTCGGTCGGTGTTGCTATTCGGGCCATTATGTATTATAAGTTACTGATTTTTATGGCGCCATGTAGTGATGATTTGTTCAAGGTTAGCTTACTCGGCTACATTCCGTGGTCTAACCCCACTTATGCACTCATAGATCAATGCTGGCATCGTCCGCGACCTCGCCACTGGCATTGCCACTACGGCCCCGAAGGCTTTCGTCCTTGTTATTTCCAACCCGGTTAACTCCACAGTCCCTATCGTTGCGGAGGTCTTCAAGAAGCATGGTGTCTTTGATCCTAAGAGGTAAGACCGTGATATCAACAGTATGACCGGCATTAATAGGACGTGATCAGGATTTTCGGTGTAACAACGCTGGATGTCGTTCGCGCTTCGACTTTTGTCTCTGAAGTTCTCGGTGATCGTTCGTTATCGCTGTCAGTATCGGTTCCCGTAGTCGGTGGTCACAGTGGCGTTACTGTCAGTTATGCTCTTGAATACTTATTCAGAAGTGACTAACATGACATCAGATTGTCCCCCTGCTCTCTCAATCTTCCCACCCTCTGCCAGCATCCCTTGACGCCGCCGCCGTTGATGTCCTCATCAACCGCATCCAATTTGGTGGAGACGAGGTTGTCAAGGCGAAGGACGGTGCTGGCTCAGCAACCCTTTCCATGGCTTACGCCGGTGCTGAGTTTGCCGGGAAAGTGATCCGTGCCGTAAATGGCGAAAAGGGAATCGTCACCCCGACATTTGTCAACCTTGCTTCAGACAGGACAGGTGGTGACGCCCTCAGGAAGGAAATTGGAAAGGACCTAGATTATTTCTCTGCTCCGGTCGAACTTGGTGTAGGTTAACACAATGACGCTAAATGTCTTTGACGCTGATGGTGTCCCAGGTTGATGGTGTCGCCAAGATCCATGGTCTCGGTAAGATCACCCCTGCTGAGAAAGCGCTTGTCGATGCTGCTCTTCCTGAGCTCTCTGCTAACATCGAGAAGGTCTGTGTTTTTCTTGTCCGATTCGACCTCATCTAACGATATCGACATTCCAGGGTGTTGCCTTCGTCGAGGCTCCCAAACTCTAACTTATACTGCAGTGACGCTTGAGAAGTTAACTTGTATAAAATATTGTACAAATAACAGGATTTGTAGAAGGTATAGAATGAAACATAGGAATTACTCGCATGTGATCGTGGACTCAGACTATCGGCCAGACTAAACAAGTTCCAAGTCAAGTCACTATAGTCGGCAATTCATTGATTTGTCTACAGTCTGCCTGGGGGAACAATAGGCCATGGCCCGACATGCATGACTGGTCCAAGGGCATATCAGCCTCTTTTTGAACGGCCTGTCGGAGTGCGATCACCAGTCGCACGATTCAACTTATTATACGGACGGGGCAGAGCAGCTGCAACAACAGCATCTCGATATAACCCGAGAAAATGCACAAACAAGATACAGAGGGCGAGAAACATTTGACAAAAAGGAGGCAACGAACAAACAACACCTCAAGGCCTCATCAGGTGCAGCATCCAACTCGGCCCGTAAGCGACAGTACAGTACAAGAAATTTCACAGAATCGTGTGAGTTCACTAATACATGAAGATTTCTGGGTCCAGGGTGGGTCAGAGATCCAGGTGGGAAATCAGGCGAATCAGATCAAGTTGGGCGCAGAGAAAAAAATACAGTGTGTTCCTCAGGCTCCTCAACTAATGTGGGAGTCGGGGATGGCTTGGAGAGCGAGTGGATGTTTATCATTCAAAATCAACGAAGGTCAGGTATTAACATGACAAAATGTCATCTGGAAAGACAGGATATCGAAACATTCGAAATAAATAGGTCAGAGTCCGGATCAGATACCGAGAACTCGATTTCCCCTAACAAGTTGGATGATATCCACTGGTGGCGGCAAATGAGAGATAATCCGCTAGGTTGTCATACGGGATAGTGCGTGTATCGCAGAAACCGGTCCATGCGCTGATCATACCCCAGAACTCAATGACATAGTCAGTGCTTGAAAACGAAAACATATTCATAGTCATTCTTCAGAGATCTCGTGATAACTCACGAGGCTGGATACGGCCCATCTTTGTCGGTTTTCTCGGGCATCCCTGCCAAAGTTCCATCGAGGGATGACCATGTGCCTGTCTGTTGATATGAAAGCTCGTCAAGTTATCGCCACAGCTCAAGTGATAACTTACCAAGCCCTCGTAGTATGCATCGATCACGTTTTGTTGAGTCATTGATGCTGCTCCACCCGTCATATTATAGAACACTGCTTCAGAAAGCTTCGCCTCTTGAGCAGTAGTGGGCGTTGGAGAGGTATCTGACGGGTATACTTGTTGCAGTAGGACATCAGTGTTGCTCCACGCATAGCAGAAGCTCGCGAGAACGCAGTATTCATTTTGGAAGAGACCCTGGGTCACCCAAAATTGACACTGATTAGCCATTTCGGCGCATGAACCATTTTCTGTTATCGGTTGGGGGACGCATGGGATCATTGGCACCGTTGTGCTAGTGTTGCACGATGCCACTGCCGGACACACTCCAGGGACAGATGAGTACTCGAGCCAGTCCTGGAAAACATGTAAGGAGAAATATTATTGTCCAAAAACGAGTACACACAGTAAGGTTGGCATAAGGAATGTTTTCAGTGGCGCAGAACCCGGTCCAAGCAGCGATGTGCGACCATTGATCAGTAATGTCAGTGACGCTGCAAATAAAATCGTCAAGAATTCGAACCCCGATATATTGTATGAAGACTTACTCGTCAGGGTAGGAGCCGCCAGGAGTGATGGAAATCTGATGATAATACGCATCGATGTAGTTTTGTTGCGTCATGTATGAATTCCCATTTGTTATGGCATAGAAAACCTATAGTACCACCAGATCAGCAAAGAACACAAGTATCAAGCTTTATTCGGACAGATTCGGACAGCCGGGGTTGAGTCGCAGGCGCTTGGGACATGCTGAGGACTTGTGCAGGGCCATCCATACATGCAGTTAGGAGGAAACACGACGTGTAGTTATAAAAGTTGCTGAGATCAACTGTGGTCGCATTACAGCTGTTTTGGAGCGAGATGCATGACTTGAGGGCGGAGACTAGTCCACTGGTATCCTGCCTTGGAATGAGTGACGAGGGAATGGCAGTAACGAGGCCTATGAGAGCAAGGTAAAGAATGGATATTAGTGTGTTCATGTTTACTAGGCAGAGACACTAAGAGGAAGGACAGACAGGATCACAGAGATACCAGACAAACCGGCGAACCTCAAAATACTTATAGGTAAGAGATCGGCTGAAATAAAGTTCATACCACATATCTCTGTGCTTGGGGTGGGTTGTTGACCCGATTACCCGCATTCAAATGTCATCACGAACGGAAACCTGCGGAAGTGGGAATGACTAGACACACGATGGTCATGTAACCACGTCGGACGCGACTGCAGGACACCCGCAAGTTTGCGTTGCGATGCAACATCCTGACTCCTGTGAAAGTCAGACGTGGTGGACGGTCTTGAGGGATGCGTGGCACATCACGGTCCGTGTCCTAGTTTGCATAGCACAAAGTCCGCATGACTCGATCTCGTGAAGAGATTCAGCGCTGGCAGCGAGGAATGACAAGTCGATTAGAGCAGATGTTTTTGAAGTAGGAACTCTTGCCTCTCAAGTCCATCGAGTTATGTGAAGTTCGTTGGCATATGGAGCAAGTACGTGACTTCGCCGAGTCTTTGAACTTCAAACAAATGTAGTTCAAATGAAAGCTTCAAATTGAACTCAGTTATTACACGCTGTTACACGGTGTAACGGAACGAATTAATTTTGGCCCGACATATCGAATTCAAAAAGATACTTAGCAGTCACCGTTGTTCTTTTCAGCGTTGCGAGCAAAGCAATAGCAACAGCCCACGCCAAGAAACCAAGAATCATGGTTTATATCAGTATGTACATGTAATAGTCAGCCAATTCAAAACCATTTATCATTTGTAATGCATGGATTTCCAAATCGTTATCGTGTACTCAGTACTCCGTTCCTTGTAGTCAGTGCTACAGGCCTGCAGCCACTTCCTGTCGATGTAGCTAGTAGTCGTAATGTTCTTAACATGCAACTTTGAGACTTTCAACAATGAACATGCCTAAGAGACATCAGATATGTCAATCATTGAAACAGTTTCAGCTGCGAACTTCAAAGACCACGAGGCAGGAGGCACTTGCGTACCCCGCTTTGCGGCGTGTGATGATTGAATATTGAATATTGAATGTCGAACCCTATCATCAGTGAACCGGTGAAGGTTTTAGAAAGGTATATATGACGATATATAGCACATAATCACAAGAACCAGCATAATTCTGCTATCGAGTATCACATTGTTATATTTGACCTTGTAGAGGAAAGGACATTTCCTGATTGTAGTACAAAGGATTACGATTGGGAAAAGGTCCTGGTATCCCTCACACTCAAACTTGGAGGAATTTGCGTCGTGCTTCCACTATTAACACCACCTTCTTGAAATGGTTGACTGTCGTCTAGTGTATGCCAATCTTCCATGTAAGAACGAACGCCTGTATCTCCTAGGCGACGCGAATGTGCTCATCGAGCGAGCGGGCCTAAATTTGCGTCCTGCTTCAGCTATTATCAACTCCTTATTGGAACGGTTGATTTCCCTGAGGTGTGTGTCAATTTTGAAGCCAAGAATGAAAGTGGATACCTTCCAGAGAACAATGGCTTGTTCACCGAGTAACCGAGAATAAATGTATGTCGCTTGGTGAGCGAGAATAAATATATGTTGTTGTTCACCCACTGACTGGCGGTTACTCTACTTGTGAAGAATGATGATATTTGCTCAGCGAGCAAGGGTCGGTATGTTGTCGCTGGGGTGGGCGAGAACGTTAATGTAAGTACTGCTTTGAAATGATGGTCCGCTATATATCGATTAGGGATGTGTGGGAATAAGTTTTACCTTTGCTTAGCAGCGAAACATATTCATCAAGCGTGTGAGAATCAATATACCTCTTGCTTTGAGTTCCTATGCGACCTTATACGTTTATCCAATGACTAGCAGATGCATTATACTATCGCTCTGTATGTTCTGGATCCAATTGATCGAAAATATACAGGCGGGTTCTTAATCTGGTACTTGAAGCGGGATATTTGCGTGAAAACTATAAAATATACAGATCCTTGTAGTCGTGCCATATGTACTGAATCTGGTGTATGGAAAATATACAGGTGATTCCTCATTCTGGTGCTCAAAGTGTGATATTCGCATGAAGACTATAAAATATACAGATCCTCACAGTCGTGCTGTCTGTGTTACGGTACAATCATTCTCTCCGTTTCTCCTTTACTACCGGTCAATGGTACATGGACACGGCCTTTAGCGAGAGGCCAATTACTTTCCAGACTCTTACTCATATCATTGTCAAGCTAGCTTTCCGTGCTAGCAACCATCGCCAGGTCTAGATCGCTATCTCTTATCAAGCGGGCTGTCCGCACTATCTCTTATCTGTTATCTCTTATCATTTACCAAGCGGGCTGTCCGCCTTCTATCTTGATACGCACTCACAATCTCCGCTTGAACTTACGCTATATAGTTACATAGCGTACCACATGTATTTCCTCACTTTAATCTACTGGGTTTTACCTGGAACAAGTCCTTTAGCAAGGTCTCCAACCTTGCTATCTAAGAACCACCATTCTAAGGAAGTCGCCGATACTTGCCTTAGCCAGAAACCTTTGACCTCTCACTCGAGAGAAGAACCACGTCTGTCTCGCCGAATCTCAGTCCACTCGGACTAAGACAGCTCGACATACCCCAGTCGTAACAAAAGATTAAAGTCCTTTTTTTAGACGCCGCCATCTGCGACGTCAGCAAGACACCACGACTTCGTTAACTCCTTTGATCGGAGCTTTGAATCTAGGCGCGCTACCGCCAATACCACCATTAAATCCAATGGCGACCACTACCAAAGAATTTGAAATCAAGATCGGTACTCCCCCCGAATTCGACGGAGACCGCGATGAATCGCACAGGTTCATGCTGAACTGTAATGCGTATTTAGATATCAACGAAAAAATCTATGACAACGACAAGAAGAAAGTAATCTTCGCGCTCTCGTTTATGACCAAGGGCAATGCTGCCGCTTGGAAAGAAGACTTCATGGAGACCGCTCAGAACGCCAAGCTGAAGAATACCGCAGGGAATCTCATCGGTTACGGTAGCTGGGATGAGTTCAAGGTCTCGTTCAAAGAAGCCTTCGGAGCTATTGATCCCAAGGGGACAGCTATGGCTAAAGTTCGAGCCCTTGAGATGAAAGGAGACCTCCACACATACATCTCCAACTACCGCCTCCTAGCCCATAAAGCAGGAATAACCGAGAACGTCACCAGAGTGGAGTTCTTCCGCGAAGGTCTCGACGTAGGACTTCGCAACAACCTCTACCATACTGGAGAAAGTCTAGACGACTTCGAAACCGTCGTTGCAACATGCATCAACCTAGATAACGCCTTCCAGAGGTTGAGAGCCATACAGAAACGAGAGAACCCTACGCACTACCAGCCTAGGAAGAAGAAATACGGAGACCGCCACTTCACTCCTCGCAGAAGCGACGCCATGGAAATAGACCAACTCTCCGAATCTGAAGTAAAAAGACACCTCAAAGAAGGACGCTGCTTCAAGTGTCATCAGACGGGCCATCGTGCCAATGATACTACCTTCCACCCCAGAGAAGATAAGAAACAGAAGATGCCCATCCGCAGAAAGGTTGAGAAAGAAGAGAGTAGCGATGACGAAGAAGAGGTGAACCGACGGTTCGTGGAGATGGATTTTTAAGGAAGGAGACTGCATCGATGTCAGTATCTCCTGTCCCAATACGACTTGTACAATCACTTGGAAATAAAAAGGAGCTTCGCGTCCCGGCCACTATTATTTCCACCAAGCGTAACAAAACCATCGAAACCTCTATGGTCATTGACTCCGGAGCTAGCGGAACTTTCATTAGCGAAGAATTCTGCAAACTCCACGGAATCAGGACTCACAAACTCTCGAAACCATTCCCCGTTATAACTGCAGACGGATCTGATGCAAAAGGAGGACTCATTTCTCGCTACTGCGTCCTTATTGTCAAAATCGATGGAAGAACCATGATAGGGAAGTTCAACATAACCAAACTATCGAAGAAGGATAAAATCCTGCTCGGATTCCCGTGGTTAAAAGCACTAAACCCGTCAATCGATTGGACGAACAAGGAATTAACTCTTGCACCAAACGAACGATCGCTCGAGATCGAAAGAAACATCGATCGTCTTAGGAAGCAGCGCAATTTACCACTGCTATTTCGCAGTGCTACTCCCGGAGAGAAAGAAACGCGCCGAGAATGGAAGAATTCCAGACTCAAGAAAAACCCCGTCTACCCACGAGTTTCTGTGGAAGAAATCACCGACGAAGAACTTCCCCGCCTCGCACCGGATCAAGACGAACCGGATTATGACACCAAAGAAGATGTATGGTCGGAAAACTATGCACCTCCGGTAGTCGACTCCTCCCTCTATCCGCTGAACGATGAAGACGTCTTAATCGAATACTCTTCTGACGGTTCCCAAGTCAGAATAATCTCCGACGTCTCTTTTGACACTCCTCTCACTAGAGACGGCACGTCAAAGCAGGAGCAAAACTATTCGAAAACCAGTAATAAAGCTCAGGAGTTTGCTGTCGCCGGGGAGAAAGAAAAAATGAAGAAGAGTTTTGAAGAACTCGTTCCTTCCTACCTGCATACCTACGCTGACATTTTTGCAAAAGACGGCCTTAATAAATTGCCACCAGAACGTCCTGGGATCGACCATCGGATCGATCTGAAACCTGGATTCATGCCACGAACGTCCAAAATCTACCCGCTATCAGGAAAGGAAAGAGAAGCGGTAAAAACTTTTATCGCAGAAAACACCGAGAAAGGATTTATCGTACCTTCGAAATCCCCGCAAGCCAGTGGATTCTTCTTTGTAGGAAAGAAGAGCGGAGAATTACGTCCCTGTCAGGATTATCGGTACCTTAACGATTGGACCGTACGCAACCAATATCCACTCCCGCTCCCCAAAACTCTCATCGAACGACTCTACAAAGCCAAGTACTTCACGAAAATCGATATACGATCCGGCTATAATAACATCAGAATTCATCCCGACGATAGATGGAAAGCCGCTTTTACTACCGAGGAAGGCCTGTTTGAGCCTACCGTGATGTTCTTTGGCCTAACCAACTCTCCCGCCACGTTCCAATCCTATATGAACAACCGCTTTCAAAACGAAATCAATGAAGGATGGATCGTCATATATATGGATGACCTTCTCATATTCTCCTCTGATTTGACGCAACACCACGAACGAACGAAAAGAGTACTAGAGATACTCCGCCGAGAACAACTGTTTGTTAAACCAGAAAAATGTACTTTTGACGCGGCAGAAGTGGAGTATCTTGGAATGGTTATTCGCCCCGGGGAAGTCGCAATGGAGCATGCTAAAGTTAATGGGATAAAGGACTGGCCTATCCCGACTTCTGTAAAAGACGTCCGCTCCTTTCTAGGATTCTGCAACTTTTACAGGGCATTTGTATCTCACTACTCTGATATCGCTCGGCCGCTTATCAATCTCACGCGAAAAGATCAAATCTTCGCCTGGACGATTGACGCGCAGGCCTCGTTCGACAAACTCAAGCAGTGTTTTACGACGAAGCCGGTCCTACGGAACCCTGATCCTACCCGACAATTCGCCCTTGCCACAGATGCCTCCTTAGTAGCAACAGGGGCTGTACTCCTCCAAACAGATGAAAATGGCGTTTATCACCCCTGTGAATACATTTCCCAATCTTTCAACCCCTGCCGAACGAAACTACGAAATCTTCGATCGTGAACTCCTTGCTATTATTCGCGCCCTCAATGAATGGCGTCACTATCTAGAAGGAAACCCCCATCCCATCCTCGTTTTCACCGATCATCTGAACCTTCTCTACTTTTCTAAAGCACAGAAACTCTCTCGGAGACAAGCACGTTGGCAGCTTGTTCTATCTAACTATGACCTTGAATTGCATCACGTCCCTGGAACAAAACTTGCAGCGCCCGACGCACTTTCTCGCCGCCCAGATCATGGCCTTGGAGAACACGACAATGAGGACCGTGTGCTTCTCCCTGACTCCATGTTTATACGACTGATTGACAGCGAACTTTCCGCTGCGCTTGCACAGGAGTCCTTAGACGACCCCATTTTCTCCACGGCCAGCGACGCTCTAGATGGGCTCTGCCTACCCCCTATGAAATCAGCCCTCTCCGACTGGACGATGTCGGACGGTGTACTTTATTATAAATCTCGCGCCTATGTACCACCGTCACACCGGACTGCCATTTTACTCCGCCACCATGACCATCCCACTGCCGGGCATCCCGGACGCTTCAAAACTGAAGAACTCGTTAAGCGTGATTATTGGTGGCCCGCAATGGGCACTTTTATTCGCTCCTACGTCGCCGGTTGCGCTCTTTGTCAGCAGATGAAAACTGACACTCACCCCGTCTCGCCACCACTGGTCCCCATTCCCTCCTCCGCGACCCGCCCCTTCTCCCAGGTCTCTGTTGACCTTGTCACCGACCTCCCCGTTTCCAACGGTTTTGACTCTCTCATGGTCGTGGTAGACCATGGCCTTACGAAGGGGGTGATTATTTCTCCCTGTAACAAGAACATCTCTTCTGAAGGAGTGGCCAAATTATTCTTCAAAAACGTATTCAAACGCTTCGGACTCCATGAAAAAGTGATCTCCGATCGGGGCCCCCAATTCGTTTCTAGGTTCTCTAGGGAATTAGCACGCCTCTTAGGATACCAGATCGCTGCCTCCACAGCATACCATCCCCAGACCGATGGACAAACCGAACGACTCAACCAAGAAATAGAAACATACCTCCGGATATACTGTAGAAGTAACCCCTATGAATGGTCGGATCATTTACCCCTCGCCGAATTTGTGCACAACCACCGAAGGCATGAAGCAAGGAACGCATCGCCGTTCTTCCTCATGATGGGATATGAACCTCGCGGTATTCCCCACATACTACCATCGTCTGATACACCTGCCGTAGAAGAAAGGGTTCGCACACTCCAAAAGATCAGGGAGGAAGCTATCTCTTGCCACAATATCGCCATGCAACGAATGGCAGAAAGAACGCACGGAAAGAAGTACCAACCATGGAAGATAGGAGATAAGGTCTGGCTCTCCGCAGCTAATCTCATGACCACTCTCCCATCCAGGAAACTTGCGCCCAAACGGCACGGGCCATTCTCTATAACCGCAGTCCTATCGCCCATCACGTTTACCCTGAAGCTTCCTGAACAATGGAAGGTTCATCCCACGTTCCATGCTTCCGAACTATCCTCCTATCAGGAGACGGAGATCCACGGACCGAACTACGAAGAACCACCTCCTGATATGGTCAATCAATCAGAGGAATACGAAGTCGAAGCCGTCCTAAGTCACAAGGGCACGGGTAAACGAAGACGCTATCTCGTATCTTGGAAAGGATACTCTTCTGGAAGCAACGAATGGATTCCAGCGGAGAACATGGAGAACGCCGAGAACCTACTTTCCGCCTATAAGAAGAGGCACAAGTTGAACTGAATCGACCAGTCCCCACTACCAACAGAAACATGTCTTACCAAACCACGTCCCCCACTGAATCCAATGCCTCCACCATTAGCCTCTGCGAATCCCCCTTCGCTGACAACGTTGTCAGTATCGAAGACGACGTCATCGTCGAAACCACTATCCTCTCCGTCGCCCACGCCCTCGAAATCGAAACCTATCTCAATAACCAGCCAGCAGTACCGGCAGGAGTCGCTGCCACATATATCCATATCATTAGAGCCACCCAACGCCTTGAAGAAGAGTTTGACCAGATTGAAAACGACGCCCTCCGACTCTCCTGCAACCACGTTCAGCGGCGCATACGCTCGCTTACGCTTCAGTTATTCCCTCTTGGTTTTAGCACTATCTGCCGGGAAATTATACAGATTGTTGCAGATCGAAACTCCTTCCAAGTCGGTCGCCCGTTGCCTCCTATTACTCATAACCCCCCCGCTGTTCTACCTGATCCAACTTCTATTGGAGGGAACTTTGCGCCAGTACCTGTACCCGTCCCAGCGCCCAGTGAGGTCCAAAGAAGGAACCTCCGCGGCGGAGCCGCCATTCACGGCGTAACCAAGAAGAAATCATCCAAAGGAAAGAAGCGTGAGGTCATCGACCTTACCGGAGATCCCCCCGCTATCCCTTCTTCTAGCATCGTCATCAGAAGCCCCTCATTGAAACAAATAGTCGGCTCTATCGCCGACGCCAACTTCATCTGCCGACTCTGCAAAAAGCTTGGTCACAAGCACAAGAACTGCCCCTTGTATTACTGCCGCGTTTGCGGCGACACGAAACCTGGGCACTTCTCCATCTATTGCCCTTTCGCCACCACCAAAATACCATTCCCGTTGGTTTATACCGACGAAGGCTTCTACGACGCGTTAGCCGCGTGGGAAGCAGAGAAGGATAAGAAAGAGGAAGAGGATCTCGCGCGTGCCGAGAGAGAGTATATGAGACAGCCGGAGGAATTAGAATTCCAGAATGCCGACGCCGACCCCATCTACTACGCAAACCAGGACGACTAGCGACGTCGATGCCGGTGCCATCGACCATAACACGGGGGTAATGTTACGGTACAATCATTCTCTCCGTTTCTCCTTTACTACCGGTCAATGGTACATGGACACGGCCTTTAGCGAGAGGCCAATTACTTTCCAGACTCTTACTCATATCATTGTCAAGCTAGCTTTCCGTGCTAGCAACCATCGCCAGGTCTAGATCGCTATCTCTTATCAAGCGGGCTGTCCGCACTATCTCTTATCTGTTATCTCTTATCATTTACCAAGCGGGCTGTCCGCCTTCTATCTTGATACGCACTCACAATCTCCGCTTGAACTTACGCTATATAGTTACATAGCGTACCACATGTATTTCCTCACTTTAATCTACTGGGTTTTACCTGGAACAAGTCCTTTAGCAAGGTCTCCAACCTTGCTATCTAAGAACCACCATTCTAAGGAAGTCGCCGATACTTGCCTTAGCCAGAAACCTTTGACCTCTCACTCGAGAGAAGAACCACGTCTGTCTCGCCGAATCTCAGTCCACTCGGACTAAGACAGCTCGACATACCCCAGTCGTAACAGTCTGTCCTAGATCCAGTTGGTTGAAAATACATAGGCGGGCTTGTAATCTGGAGCTTGAAGTGGGATATTCACGTGAAGACTATAAGATATACGGATCCTTGCAGTAGTGCCGTATGTCTTGGATTTAGCTTATCAGCAACACACAGGCGTGTCCGTGATTAGGTGCTTGAATTGTGATATTTGCATGAAGACTATAAAAAATACAGATCCTCACAGTCGTGCTGTCTGTCCTAGATCCAGTTGGTTGAAAATACATAGGCGGGCTTGTCATCTGGAGCTTGAAGTGGGATATTCGCATGAAGACTATAAGATATACGGATCCTTGCAGTAGTGCCGTATGTCCTGGATTCAGCTTATCAGCAACACACAGGCGTGTCCGTGATTAGGTACTTGAATCGTGATATCAGCGCATATACTTGCAAATGCAGACATAGCCATAGTTTTCTTATACGAAATGTAATTTAACATGAAATTGGTGTAGAATAGTAGTATATAGACAACACTACAGTTGTAAGGGAGGTGAGGGTCACAGAGCTTAGGGTGAATCAAATGCGGCATCGTCACGTTGTGCCCTCTGCCTTGCGAGAGTATTGATGGACATATTGGCCTTTGCCGCACTGCTAATATCATCGCGGTGATTCCTTCCAAATACCTTCCTAAATGACAGAGGTTGGGTGAGGTTTATCAAGACAACAACAGGAGCATTACAATAATGTACCTAGTCCACCACTCGAGGAGTTTTTCAACCCTGCGGTGCACGTCTTGACCAGGCGGCTTTTCGAAAAAATCAATGATGGTGCACCAAAATTGTATGTAGTCAAAATCCCCGTCAATGGACCACCATGAGGTGACAGACGAAAGGCCGATTCGAACCTGCCAATCTGGTCATCATTTCTATCATTAACCCTGCCAAAAGACTTACTTGGCACGCAATGTAGGCGATAGAACAAGGAGTAACCTTTCTCAATTTGATGATCTGCGCTACATGCTTTTGACTTTGATGCCAGCAAAGGATTTCTTCGTGAGCCTGTTGTTTCGGATGACATCCGCCCCATCACCATCACCCTCGATGTCCTTGGCTGATGATGGCGACGTGAATACGGCTTTGTAACCCTGCAAGAACTTGTGAGATCACCATTATACTACTCGGATGCGACATACCTGAAGAAGAATTTTGCCTTTGAAAAGCCCCTCCTCTAGATCATCTGGATTGCTCTGGTATTTGTCATACAGGAATGCCGGAAAGGACAGATCCGTCACGACATAGCCTTCTGAGCGATCTCGAATACCTGCCTTTATGCTGCTGAATAATGAGTGCCTTTTCACAGTATTCTCAACGTGCACTTACACTGGGTTGTTCCAATCGAATTCAGCCGGGCAGAGCAGTCTGCCACATGCGTCATTGCTAAAACCATGGGAATGTTTGTCGTCGGGGTCGACAGGGTGATCCGGCTTAAATTCGCGATTTACCCATTCAGCAATAAGTGTCTTGAGTTTCGAGCAATCGTTGCCTCAAGCGCTATCAGCCCCCTGCCGAAGCTTAAGAAAGGTTATGAACACAGCAAGGCCTATCATTGACATGTAGAAAGCTGACCATTTTCATCATTTGCGCATACTCACCATACTCCATCTCCACGGCTTTCTTATGAAACCATGGCAATGTATGGGTGAGGGTGATGTACCCCACCTGCAGTCGATCTTGACTGTAGAAACCAGCGCATATTTAGCATTCGCAAATTAGCTTGAGGGGCGAAAGACTTACTCAACATTATTTTCATCGTCATCACTTAAGTCGTATCTTCGGTCATTTTCGGTGACGAGGTCCTCAACATTGTCAAACAGAGAAATAACACGCCTAATAGCTCGCCCTTCAGCTATATAATAATTTGTTTGCCTGCCCGATGGTAAGTAATGCCAACTTCATATATGGAGTGGTAACTATACCTTTCTTTGGAAGCACGCCCCGCCTTGAGAGCCTCCAGCTGCTCTTCCAGTTGTGCAATTCTGCGTCTCTGTCGAGCGTGCAGAGCTTCTGCTTCTGCTGTAAACTCATAGCTGGGTTCGTCCAACTGGCCTTCTGTTTGTGCTATGAAGCCTTCGTCCCCTCCGTGCTCGATGTGCGCCATAGAGATGAGATAAAGAGAAGAAAAGTTAGAACAGTGTTTATTGAGGAAGGGAAGGTGTGAGGTTATGGATAGAGCGACCGACCAGCTCATCTTATATACCGCTCGGGAGTCCCAGCTGGTGGCACTAGTCCAAAAAACATACGCCTTTTTAGGACATCACTAAAATAATAATGTTAGTATGAGAATACCTTTTTAGGGTATCAACGTTAGCACGGGAGAAACGGGGGAAATCTGGGCATTTGCGGTACGTAGGTATTAGCGAAAAAAAGAGAGACAAAAAAAGGTGTACATACACCTCCCGAATAAACTCAAGGGGGAAATTCCCAGTGACGGAGGTAAGTAAACCGTTGATCCTTCAACTCTCGTTGGAATCCACATCGAGAAAGCCCCCAATGATATGGGCATTTTATGTAGTCAGTAGAAGCTCGGGCCATTACCATGAGACAAAACTTATGGGGGGTGGTAAATCTCCTTCACCTTCTGAAGGAGGACAACTGCATTTATGATGTCTTGATGAGTGGACGGGTCTGAAGGAGGTTATGGTCGCCGGATTCGAGATAACAAGATGAGTGGTACTTGGACCGACATTGATGCTAGAAATAGACGATCATCGAGCAGCTGCAGAAAGTGAAGTGAGTTGAGGTTATACACGCCGAATTGTGCATGCATCACTCGCCTTGCGGATTTATCCTCGCACTCTTGGATTCAGCCTCTCCTGCCATCCATAACCCTCTTCTCAGTCCCCTGACATCAGCAGCCAAAAAACACGTACCAGACAACGACTGAATATCAAAATCAGCATTAGGGCTACCGGCTGCCAACTCCTTCATGATCATCTGCTGCTCCGTGACCGACGGTAACCATCCAGCAGGCTTCGACCAACCATCAGAGACATACACAATAGTTCTCCACCTGACCACCAAGCACTTGCTGATTTGCTGGAATAGTGGACGCGCCCTTCACGCTGCAAAGCGCATGGATAGTGGCTCCGACACTTGAATCACCAATACCCTGCACTGTAACGCTGGGACTGTCATCTTGCGTTCTGTTTCCTTCTTGACCATTCTGGACAGGGACCTTGGCAAAGCCGACTGAAGGAGAGTCATCTTGAACAAGTGGGTCTGGATGTGGTCTCCTTCAATGCATCGCGAAGGAGCGAGGTTGCAGGCTGAATCATATTCTGTGACATGCCAAAGATGTTGACCACCTAGGAGAATGAAAAATGCTAAGGAGCCAACGATCACATAGTAAATAAGCCCAAGTAGCCTTACCTTTGAGTCCATGTCCACGAGCAGCCCATTCCAACTCTGAGTCAGGCTCATTGTGAGCTAACTGTCTTGCAAACTCCCTTTGGATTTGCCCTCGTGACATGGAAGAAAATTATAATCTGTGGTGTAACTAACTTTCTTTGAGTATAGATGATCTTAGTTGGTCCTGTTCTACGAAGTAAGCGAATAATGACCTTATTAAGAACTTGTAGACACTCAACGTTGCAATGCCAACGAATGTAACCACATGAATGTACGTACTGTTCACTAGAGAACAATCATTGATACCGTTTGATATAAAAGTTATGAGCACCACGGAGATTTGCATGACAGGATCTAACATCACAGTAAGCAAAAGATGATACATCTCGATTCGTAGTATGAACACATCAACCGCACGAGTCAAAGTCGATATAAGCAATTACAGGTACTGAGCCAGCCTCGCTTTGATACATTTCTTATATCTTTCCCATCGCTCCCGCAACTTTGGGGAGTTCTTGATCGTCACTTCAATGTAATGCATCAGTTTGTTGTACAACTCTTTGAAAGCTGCGCCCGAAAATTCGACATCAACAGATATTTTGTACCTGATCCTCTCCAAGGCACAACAAACTGCAACAGCAGCAGCGCAAGCAAGGCTATCGATTTATTCTAGGTACCAAAGGAGGTCAAGCTCACGAACTGTGTCCAAGATAATGTTGAGCACGACCTTGTTTTCAAGGAAGTGCCATTCGTTGTCCGCACCCAGCGCCATGAGAAATCTGGGAGGGAAGACCTGATTGTCAAGGAGCTCCGCAAGTATAGCTTCCTGGTGCGTATTTTCAGAGGCTTCTGACCATATTGAAAGACGTAGGTCGAATCCATCGAGGACTAAATTGGACGCGTGTTTTCTGCACATTTGCATGATGTTTTTGCACGGCTCAGACAACATCATGTACAGCGACCCGGAATTGCGTGACACCCATGCGATTCCCTGCTCTATTGACACATAAACAAAATGTCGGTCGAGAAAAAAACGGTACTTACTTTCACCTATTATGTTTTTGGCTGCCTGCTCCAACTTCTTGTCAACCAACGTCACTCTATCTCCCTCCTCCATCAAGGCAGCGCTATTGAGTGCATGTTTCATTATTTCTCTCTTTGCAGACTTCACAATCCGTTGGTGGAGCTTGTTTTTGTCGTCGAATAAAAGATCAGGTTGCGTTGAGCACTTGACTGCACGCTGGCATGTTGTTAGTGAGGAATCGTTTGAAAATATAGCTATTCACCTTCCTTCCTCGCCGGTCGCTCGGCCCCCAATAATGACGAAACATCAAGTCGTCTTCAGGGTTTTCTGCACCTGCGATGGGCTCTTCAAAAGACTTGTCTTTGACATCTGATGGTAGAAACACATTTGGAACGGGCTCTCGGGAACCCTCGTCTTCAACGCCTGGAGGTAATAAGACATCGCCGTCCATGGAAAGGGTTGGAAGCTTAAATTCAGGGAGGAAGGTGCTAATGTTTGATGAAGGATAGCGCGGTTGCACAGACATGATGTGAGAATGTGCAGTTGGAGTAGGATCAACGTCTGCAACAACATCGTGTATCTCTGGCACTTGGTCGCCTGGAGGGCACATAAACACGGGAGGGTCGATATTTCCGTAGAGCTGATGGTTGGCGGGCTGCTGGTCATAGCCCAGGAGATGCGGTGGGATCTGCACTTGAGGGTAACTAGGGATGTACCATGGCATTGGCACTACTGCCACAGCCGCATATGGATTGGTAGAGGGATCATAGAGATTGACGTCGTAGTCGATCGGGACATTAGTGTGGGGGAGTAGATGAGTCTGATGCGATGTGGAACCAGAGGCTTGGGCCTGTCCATCAAGCTGGTGACCGTAGTACATGGGCTGTGATAGCGAAGGCTGCAATAGTACAGAGTCGAGGTATGCATTTTCAGAATTATTGGGGTGGGTCTCCAAGTCAGCAGCCAGCGGTTGGCTAGTGCTGGTAAAAGTCTGCATGAGAAAACAGTTAGAAAACGAGTCGAATTACGCCGCTGTTGTGAGCTAAATTTGAGCGGTCTGGAAGGTCATACTTACCGTGACTAGTAGCAAAATGATTCGACTACGATAGGAAAGTCGTCGATTTACAACACGAGCGAACTCATTTTGTAAAACAACGAGTAGCAATGAGGTGCGTGCTTCAAACCCGATAGGGTGATCGTGAGCAGAATTAAACATTGAATCTTACTGCAAGGGATGATGTTGTTCGAGAAGCATACCTTTAATATTGCCGCCAATATCATTCTCCATGCAAGGCAGTCAGACGTAAACCTACTGCTAATTCACGTTTGCCAAATAAGGCAGTCAGCTATGCTTCTAATAAGAGCGATGAAGGGTACGAACCGGTAATCGTAGATCAAGCTTCGAGGTTCAACGTTGCCTTAGACGTACAAACTACAGTCTGCAAACACGTGCCGGTTTTTCTCAGCCTGCGGCAACGAGGCTCATCGAGTTTCACATCAATATCAATCATCGATAGTAAGATATCAATCTTTGTGCTTGCGAAGGGTTTACACTTCAGGCAAGACCAGGATTGAATACTGAATAATGGGTGCTAGTAATAGTGAGGACTTAGTAGTGCTCCGATGAGGGCCCGGGAGCCAAGTTGTGCATCATGCATCATGACTCATGGTAGTCAAGTGAGTATCACGTGACATGCTATTTCTTATTCGTAATGGCCAAATATAAAATTCAAAATTTGTGTCGGGTATTCAGACCAGTCCCCAGTTGCGCAATCACTGATATAAGAGTAGCCTCTCTATAGTCCTTTGTGATTTCGGTGTTCTTAATTTTACTGGACTTGTATCTATTCGACCGTTTGATTATGTATCTGAAAACCGCATCAGCCCGAATATGTCACAGTGTCACACCATGATACCGGCATCACACGCGTAGGTGCAGCGGCATATCATATTATTTAAATTCAAAATTTCAAATCACCTAGTAACCCCTACTCGATAACAGTTTATTTCTCCATTTTATTTGCTGTTCAAATAATCGATAAGCGATGCGGTTCTCATACGTAGCAAGACGTCGGAGTAAACTGAGTCTGATTGTATGCCGACTCCCGAGCTGCCGAGGTGCATGTTGAGTCACGTAGAGTCACATATGCTGGTAACTAGTACTGGAACAGCAGAAGCTCTCACTCAAGCTTGCTTCATGGAACCACTGCGTGCATCCCGTTGTCGGTGGTCCAAGGCCACTAATGCAGATGAAACGACAATGAGTTCCCTAGAGTCATTCAATACGAGTCTGCCGGTGAGTCAGCGAGGAGTGCAACTGCAAAAGTTTCCAGGAGGTTCATTGTGAATTGAAGCTCTCTCTTGCTGCTCTGTCAGCACTGACGTTACAGATGTATTAAGTTATTGCATGCCATCGAATGATGATGGGTATAATACAACAGATGTTAGTGTCATTTGGCTGCTCGTATTTCACTTTCTGCCCATCACAAACATCGTCACGTCGAGTCCATTAATAAAAATACATTCATCCACCATGATAAAAAGGTAAGCGAACAATGAGGCACAAATTTGCTGCTAGGGCACAGGCGCTATGGATCCTGGCGACAAGTACATACAAGTACTGGCTTGAAGTGTCTCGGGTGGGTAATGGTCTTCATCAATATCTGGAAATACGTCATTGTAATGACAATATGACTCTATGAAAATCAAACACTGACTAATCATCAGCAGCACTGGGGCTGTCTCCAATACAATGTGATGGACTGTCCGAGTCTTCAGCGAACGACTTGACCAGCAGCCTCTGCATGATATGATCTCTCATAAGATCAAGTTGAGCATCAGTCTCTCGAAGAGATGTCTTGTTAGATTGGCGGGTTGCATCGAGATATTGAGCATCATCCACAACACAAGTCAGCGACTGCTTGGTAACAAGTGTCTTCAATAACGCTTGAGCATCTTGCTCTGCTCTCTGGAACTCCGCGTTTGTTTCGGCATATAAAGACGTAAGGAGAGTGCGCAGCCTGTTCGTTTCCTCCAGTTCCCAGTATGTCATGAAGAGACGCATACGTTGGCGCTCATGAACTGCTTCCTTGTAACGAACGACATAGCGGCAAGATGTAGGGCTAAGCCCATCCATATGCCTTAGAAATACATCATCTGTCTAGAAATTTGATGCATATAATGAAAGTTATGTACATTTTGAGATCAGAAGGGCTTACCTTGCTGTCGGGAGCTTCTAATCGATTGTCACTAGCAGGTCTGCCCAGTAGGTTATCAAAAGTATGAATGTCTTGGAAGCAGGGTGGCTGGCGGTAGGGGTGAAAAGAATGACCATCGCTGCGATGTTTTGCACGACTCGAAGACCGCGATTTGGTCTTTGAAGGTGTGCCAGTAAGATGGTAATATGCGCCGCCTGAAGACTTGGAATCAGGGGTCAAAGGAAAGCTGTCCTCAGGATCCGTCTCTGAGACCATGCTTGTCGCTGTCACTGGTATATTAGTATATTTAAAATCCTATTATGAGTTATCATACCTCTGGACGACAAGGGAGAGCTTGGAGGAGTTGAGTTGGAAGAGTAACAAGGGCATTGAGGAGGTGTAGATAGTAGCCCTGGTGTGATACGTGTAGTTTCGCACAAGTTCATTTTTCAATCCTGAGGGTGAATACTAGGCTCTGGGGAGTTCACCAGTAAGCGATAAATAACCATGCGGACTTTCAAAGACCTGCGCTGGAGTTTTAGGTTCTTTTTCTGGGAACTTCCATCTTGACAAGAACTTCGATTAAATCAGCCGGGAACAAGGAAGTTGCAAATAGATACAGGTGATTACCATATTTGGTTTTGGCGGGGATTGAAAACTTGCCATGATGAAAATGAGGCTTGGCCCGTGTGAATGGTAACACACGGAGGCAACCCTGGGAGAGGAGACATTGTCATTGGACAGTTACTAGTATGATATGTTGGGGCGTTCAATGGTCCGTCGACGAATGAGCCTGAGGGTACAGGATTCGGGTACCTGTGCATCATGATAAGCCTGTTCAATTTCAGGATCCCGAATTGGGTCGTAGTAGGTGCCTGGTGCACGCCTCTTGCAAGAGGCAATCCGATGCTGACCTTTTTCGATACTACCGTATGTAGTAGTACTAGTAATGATCAGCTGGCCGCTACTGGCCCAATGATAGATTTGAGTTTTACCTGTCACCTAGTACTAAGCGCTAAGCATTCGAGTTATCATGATAGTAACATCTAGACTCGGAAGTACTCACATGCAACTGTGCCCTGGCCCAACGCACAACACCCGACCATAACCCAACCATCCTGGACTTGCTCACATGAGGTGAATAGAGCAACTCGGAGGGGAACGCGAAAACGGTCGTGTGTTCCTTCAAGTTGAGCGAAGTGGTTATACCGGACTTATCGTGTATGAGTATGTATTACTACTAGTAAAGTCTCACTGTGAACCTTCAGCTAGATCTTCAGAAAAGTATTGGACCATCATTCCAGGCTGGTTCTGATTGCTATGTGACTGTCGCTCAGTTGAGTGAATGCGGAAGGGCACAGAAGGGGTTTGGTGGAGTTGCCCCTGTACATACGAGGGTGATCGATTGATTTATTACAACATTTGCTGTTACCATTTTTGGGATTTGCGGGCTTCAAAATCAAAACAAGTGAAATGAGCTCACTCGTCGAATTAATGCTAAGGATGCATCGAGTTTTGTTATAAGAATTTTACTAACTTGTACGCATAAAAGTTTTTCGACGGACGAACAATTGCTAGTGATGGCACTGTCACTAGCAAAATTATAAGTACACACCAGAGCCTGCTTTGCATTTTCAAATTAACACCAGCCTTACTGACAGCTATGTCTTACTATGCTCCTTTTGCAACTACTCAGCCCTCCTGGATCGAAGCCATGATGGCACATGTTCAAGCTGATCATGTATCCAAATTTTCTACATCTGGCCATGGCGACGACATACCGGTTTTCTGGGAACCAGATTCATTATCTTTCACAGACCCTTTCACAACCCACTCACCAACAGATAGTACCATCCCCTCCCCATCCTTGGAAAACTTTTCAACCCTTCCATCCTCCCTCACTAGTAGTCCCAGCACTCAACCTCTAAGGCAGCTTAGTGGTACTGACGTGTCGCATGACATTAATTCTTCTGTATCAGCCACTGCTTCCGCCAATGAGGAGAAGAGGTCTCGTACATCTCGCACCTGTCATCGAGGTGCTCCACTTGAGCAGTTGCAGACTCTCAAATTGAGCAATGATAACACAGTGGACGCTCCCATTGCTCCCATTGGGCAACCTAATGAACAGAAAGGAAAAAAAAAATATGGTCAGTGTCTGCAGTTGTTTGATTTTGTTGTACTAACGATAGGTCAGCAAGCCGAGGCCGGTCGTGTTTGTGAGGGAGTCATACGAGCCCGAGCTCTTCGCACCACCAGTGCTCGTCAGACACATGAGAGGAAGATCGAAGATGTTGACACCGAACCTGATACCGACCAGGAGAATTTTGATATATCTCTGAATCCTGCTCCAGTAGAGACTCAGAAGCGCATTTGCTGGGAGAAAACAGGTACCGACTGGCAGACGGTCCTCGACATAGTCAAGTATGGTGAGCAATGGAGCAGGCAGAGTTAAACAGAGGACACTGAAGGCCAACATCTGAGAGCTGACGGTGAAAGGTAGAGATGGCAAGAGTGTGGAAGAACTTCATGTGCAACCTATTCTGTACCTGTACCAGAACAAACTCATCAACCTGTTTGTGCAGCGTGTTAACTTAGTTCGAACACTTCAGGTTGTTTGTTTAAGGGTTTAATCGATGTGGATTTCGATGAGAGTTGAACATTTACTTGCCTCATGTCACTGGGGCCCAAACCCTTGTCATGGGCAGAGCGACACTGCACAGCATTCAATTGGAAAGAGCGTCAGGGTAAGCATAGATGCATCACGATATCAAAACATGAGCAATCAATTGAATACACACACTGTTTCGCGTGATGGACCCGTCCAAGTTGGACATGGAGCATTTGAGTTCACAAGCCAACGGATTTGAATATGACACAGGAGCGTCAGCCTCGAAGTCGCGTGCGTCGGATGCCATGGCTGGAGTGCAATTGGGGAGAAGAGTGAAGAGTGATATAGCTGATGACAGCCGAACTCGGGTGGAAAGCGATAGGAGGATTGAAATCTTGTACAATATATGTAAGACCAAATGTATTTTGAACCAACAGAAACCAAGCCACGATAAGATGTGATGATCACGTGATACCGAGAATGAACGTGGGATTGTTTATCGTCAGATGGCGGCATAATACATATGACCTTGCAAGCAAGGTGACCGAACCCAAGTTAGCTGGTATTCTAATTCGACTATGTTCTACACCCACTATCAATTTAGGAGAAAGTGGCCGCTTTCTCCGGTCTTTTGAACGTTGGGGCTACTTCGATGAAGGCCTGTCCTTACTTGAAGCTGCTTTGAGTTTGCGGCAACTCCGAGTCGGAGGCACATAAGTACTTTGAATCTGATATGTCTAGCATTGTCAACTCTCATTATTTGGATAGATGGGTATCTTCACCGAGCTGTCGATCCTATACAGCAAGTACAGAGCGGGCAAACATAGGCATATATTTATCTCCACAACAGTATCTCATCTCCAGTTTAATTAGTGATGGAACATCCCAAGCTTTTTGTCTTGAGAATCAACACCTTTTGAATCTATCCTGGACCAGCAGGGATTCACGAAAAATGAACACCGACTTCTACTTGGAAAACTGCTTGCCTCCAGGTTAATGACATTCCCAATGATTGTATGAGTGAATCACGGTATGCAATCTTCCTTTTACCCTCACTGCCACCATGAGCCACGAGCTTTACCGAAAGTACCACTACCCTTGCTCACCAACGTGTACTATAGGGTTATGACAGAGTCATTCGATCTATTTACGGCCACTTTGGGCACAATACTGCACCAGATCTGTTCCTCAAGAAGGCATTTGATGAACTGCTTGACGCCAGCAGATGAGATGGCCACTTTGTTGCCTAAGAAGCAAAAGCATGCTGCTGAGGCTACGAAAGTAGGTCGATAAACTTGTTATACAATTATATTTTGATTCCAGACTGCAGAGCAATGTCAGCTGGTCACAGTCTGTTGCAATTTCTCGCAAACATGAACTTAACGCTATTAGACAGGGTCGAGTACGTCAGCTACCATATTCTTTAATATTCCAGACTTGACTGATGGGTAAAATTAGTGTTACAACTCGGTGCAACATCACCCTTGACTGGTGCCCGTATGTTACGACACTCCTTACTCTCACCAAAACAGTGTTGTCCCTACTTCAGAACACCAGAAGCTGCTTTCCTCATTCATCAGTCCTCACATTTGGAGGAACACATATCATAACGGCGTGGAATTCGATGACTTTCAATGTAGAGTGATGTTCAGGGATATATAGACGAACCTGAAAGAGCTTGTCGAGGATAACGTGCGAGGCATCTACTACAACGCTTTAGGCACTGCTGAGAATACAGGACACACCAGGAATACCACATGCGTGTGGGCATGATTGATGAAACTGAGCCAACAATGATTACATCTATCTGAGTCATTGCTCAGCGCTCAGCTGGTGACCCTAAATGATCATAGCTCGGATGAACTCGCCTCCAATTATATAAGCAAAACCTCATGTCCAGGTCAGTTCAATGTGTGTCAATTCTTTCTGTGGTCTCCTACTTAGACTTTGAAGTGCGGTGCAATGCACTGTTGCGAAATCTTTGGACAGGATTTCTTTTATTTCTTCTGATGGTAGCCTGCGGTTCTCCAGGTTGCTCTTGGGAAAGGACAACAGGACAATCGCAGACTTGCAAGACATCGCACATCCTGTCACTTCTACAAGAGAACTAGTTCTCTCGCAAGCCGGAGGAGACAAGATCGTGCAAAAGAGGCTGTGATTTCGAATTTGGATCCGAGGCTTTGTGGAACTGTGAGTAGCTTTAGATTTGCTTTAAATAGAATGTTCAATTTGTGTTAATGTTAGGGAATATCTTCTGTTCGATATGTGAGGGACTGCCTGAGTTTCAAACCAATTGCCTCTCGTAGACTCCTCAGGCCAGTGTCTATGACTCGTGAGTCATGTAGTAGCTTGAGTGTCGCAGAATCGCAACACCATCTCGATGCGGAGAACCAACAAGATAGTAACAGAATTGCTATGGAGATGGATGGTGATTCAGGAAACATGGGGGAATATACTCATTCAGGTTTGTGTCTCATTCCAAGCTCTAATGTATTCTCAAATTTCTTGATTTTTAAGAAGAACCTGCACCTTCAAGGGGACGAATTCCGAGACCTCTCAATGATATAGAGCCTTCGCATGATGATCTTAATCATTCCGACAATACTGGTATTCTATCAGCTCAAGTAGCTTCACTGCCTGCCCGATCCAGAATTCAATGTGTTCTTTTAACCCTAAGAGACACCCTCCAGACACCCTTCAGCTCATTAGGACTCTGTCGACTGTACCCTCGTCGACCTTCCTTCGAGCCAGATCGGTTTATTCCATCCTCGCTACTCGCAAAAACTTCTCCGATAGTTGTCGAAGAAGCCAACTCTGCACCGACCGTCTTTGTGCCACCTTACCCATTTCCTAACATGACGATATACCGACTCATGTCCTGGGTAAATTCCGGTAGTCATTTGATATCTGAAAATAAAGTCTCGCACCTTGTCAGAGATGTAATCATGGCAGAAGATTTCGACTGCGAGCATCTGGAGAACTTCTTGGTGAGGTGGAGCTTACAAGAATTGGACAAGGATGAGAAAGGGAGAAAGATTACTTTTCCGGACGACTGGCTTGAGACCAGTGTTACCATCGACATTCCAACAAAGTTGAAGGAGGACAGTCCCCAGCCTTATACTATTCATGGTTTCCATTATCGCCCCCTTGTCGAAGTCATATGCGCGGCATTCGCAGACATTCAAGCAAGGGTGTTTCATCTCTTGCCTTTCCAACGGTTATGGAAAGATCCTTTGGATGGACGTCAAGAACGACCTTTTTGATGAGCTCTATACCTCTGACGCATGGATGGAAGCTCAGGACAGTCTTCAGAGGCTTCTGAAAGAGCCCGGATGCTCACTGGAACATGTTATTGCAGGTCTGATGTTATTTTCCGATGCCACTCATTTGGCAAACTTCAGGGACTGCGAAAGCTTGGCCACTATACATGTATTTCGGAAATCTGACGAAATATGCACGATCGTCACCCCAATCGGGAGCATGTCACCTGGTAGGGTTTTTACCTTTGGTAAGTCATCTTGAATGCCACACTTTCGTCTACTGCTGTTGACGATGTCAGCTTCCTGACAGTGTGAAGGATGTTATGTCTTGCCTATCTGGTATATCGAAAACCGGCATGGCGTCCCTTCATGCTCACTGCCGCAGGCAGCTATTTCATTCATGCTGGGAAATCTTGTTGGACGATGACTTTCTTTCCGCATATCGCCATGGTATTGTTCTGAAGTGTGCCGACAGAGTAGCGCGGAGGATCTTTCCCCGGATTTTCACCTATTCTGCCGACTATCCTGAAAAGTACGTCCTTCCACGAATTTAAATTTGATTTATTCATCGTTTTACAGGGTTTTAATCGCTACTATTAAGGACATGGGCTTGTGTCCGTGCCCTCGCTGTCTCACACCCAAACAAATGTTTAGTCATCTCGGACTCGTAAGGGATATGAAGAGCCATTTAATCAACCTTCGAGTGTACGCTATGTCAAAGGTTATTCAGGCCTGTGATTTTATCTACAGATGCGGAAACACTGTAGATGGTGCAAAGGTAGAACATACCCTCGGAGAAGGTTCATGGGTGCCTGTTCTTGTAAGCAAAACTGTTTCCCCATCCTTTTATGATCATCTCATATATCCAATCATAGAATCAATTTGTCGCGAAGCTTGGACCTTTCGGCCTCAATCCATTTCGGATGCTTGTCATCGACTTCATGCACGAGTGTGAATTAGGTACCTGGAAGGGAGTATTCACGCATCTTATTAGGCTTCTTTATGCCCTTCCTCGGGGTAGTGAGCTTGTCGCGAGACTTGACAGCAGGTACGAGGAGTTTGTATGGAGTACTGTTGCCTGCTAATAGGTCGTCACAATCAACTCTTGATTTTGCTCCAGGTTTCGACAAGTGCCAACTTTCGGTAACAGCGTCATTCGCAGGTTTTCAAATAATACATCTGAGATGAAAAGATTAGCAGCGTGTGATTTTGAAGACATTTTACAGGTTTCTCAGATTATTTGTTTCTGCATTTGAGCCGCTGACAACTCTCGTCATTAGTGTGCCATTCCTGTCTTTGAGGGATTGTTTCCTACCGGTCACGATGCAGTTGTGCAATCACTGTTGTATCGATTCGCGCAGTGGCATGCCCTCGCAAAACTCAGGCTTCACTCGGAGTCTACGGCCAAATTTCTTGAAGAAACATTCAAGCAGCTATCGAAGAAGTTACGGAAATTTCGAAACTCTACTTGTGCTGCGTTCAACACTCTGGAATTGCCCAAAGACAAAGCGGCTCGCCAATGAAGGGCTGCTAAACTCTCTGAGACGAACGGAACCCCTCCAGAATCGAGTGGGGCGAGGATCAAGATGTTCAATTTGAGCACCTATAAGTTTCATGCAATGGGGGATTATGTGATGACAATTGAGCTCTTCGGGACTACCGATTCTTTCACTACTCAGATTGTACGTACTATCTGCGCTCGTAGTTTGGACTTGAACTTAAATTATTCAGGGAGAACTTGCTCACAGAGCGCTCAAGGCATTTTATCCGCTGACGAGCAAGATAGACACTCCAGGGCAGCTAGCCAAGCATGAGCGTAGGCGTCGTGTACTACGACGGGTGGCAGAAGTAGGCATATTGTCCTCTGGCGGTCAATCACGAGACGACTCCACCCCACCAACGTCTCTCGATCAGCATCACCATATTGCGACTAATCGGAACAACCCAATAAAGCTTTTCTCATTTCTCCGAGAACATGATGGCGATCCAGCTGTTAAGGTAGAAGTCGCCTTTCAGACGTACCTATAATACACTCTGCTCACAGCGGTTATCAGAATTTTTTACCAAGACTTAAGGACCATATCCTCTATCAACTACGGGAGCTGGATGTTAGCCATTGTGACCACAACTTCATGGATGTTGAACGCAACTCTGTCGTTATCCCCAATAGCACAATTTACTCGGTGCAGACCATGCAAGTGCACTACACTACCTATGACTTGCGGCGCGAATACGATACTATTAACCCTAGAACTCACAGGGACGTTATGGTGCTGTCAGGCAAGACAATGCCTAGCCACCCATACTGATATGCCCGTGTCTTAGGAGTGTTTCATATGGAGGTCTGGCTTAACGTCACGGGTCGACCCGTGAAGCGACATCTCGAGGTGCTCTGGGTTAGGTGGTTAGCAACCTTGCAGAACTACAAATCTGGCATAAACCATGCTCGTCTCCCAAAGATCGTGTTTGTGGAGGAGTCTGACCCAGATGCGTTCAGGTTCCTTGACCCAGGACAGGTAATCCGAGGAGCTCATTTGATTCCTGCTTTTTCCTCCGGACGTGGTATCAGCTCACTTCGCTACAGCAAATCACTGGCCCGTCCTGGAGGGGAGTTAGATGACTGGGAAGAGCATTATGTCGGCATGTAAGTGCAAACATCTATTTTCGTGGTGCATTAGCCTTAACCTTTGTGCCAGATTCGTTGATAGAGATATGTTCTTGCGCTATACTCATTTTGGTGTGGGACATCCAGCAATGCTACGGAAAATCACGAGGGACTGCTCTGAGTCAGTGGTACAGATCAATGCCATGGACATAGCCGATAGTAGTAACGATGAGGATGTAGATGATGAAGTGGCCGGCGATGACGAGGGTTATGATGGATTCGACGATGAGGAGGACAGTGATCAAGATCAGGATGATGAGCTGAGCGATGGGGAATTGCATGACGATGTTGGGGACAACGACGGTGATGATGCCGATTCCAATGACGAATTTGATGATCTCTCTTTCTAACAGCTCCGAATCCCTGTACTGTTTCAATTCTATTGCTACTTTACTGTTTACCGTACCTCCATCATAACCTCTGGACTAAGTGCCAAGATTCCTGTTTGTGTTTGTTTTTAAATACTATCATGTGACCTGTAGCACACCCTTGCTGGTAATCTCTAAGTAGAATTGCCCCGGCGTTTGAAGCACTGCCATCGACACGCCAAGATATGCCTGGAAATACGGCATGTACAGCTAACTATCTAGCATCACTTTGACAATCTCCTTGCCTTTGACAATCCACTGTCCGTACTATTATGGCGCTCTGTCGATGCATCTATCTTGACCATGTAGTAATCGAAACCTTTCTTCGTCAGCGTCATGGCTGAGTCAAGCACATCGTAAAAATGGAGAGATGGACAACAAGGAGCGATGTTGAACTCACCTTTGGTTAGTGCAACCTGTCAGAAAAGGGAGAACTTGAAGGATCTGTCTCCCTATGGTGCACGATTTTACCAGGATGCAACTTTGGAAGGTGAGTAACTGTGTTTTGATACCTATTGGCTTACTCAACTAGAACAGGTGGGAGCGGAGCTCTCCCTCCCGAGTGGTATTTGCATGAGATAGAATGTACTATTAAAGTCACACACAACTTGAGTGTCTTCATGGAAACGATCTTTACCAGGAGTGCAACTAGGTGAGTGAAGAACGTGTCACTAGCAACAAGGAATTCATGGTGAAAGATAGATCTTCTCCTTGCTGTTTTCCTATTTGCTTTTGTACGTGTTTTTGTTTTCGAGAGAAGTTGCATATCTGATCGTGCACAGATACTCTCCACAAGGGGACAAAATCACAAACAGTGGAGAGGACAAGGTGAACCGCGTGTAGTCAAAGAACAATAAAGATCGAGGGGTATACCACCAGGTCGTTGTGTTGGTCCAAGGATGGCGCACACACTTTCTCCGCTTCGTATGATAGCACCATCCGAAAATGGTTGTTGATTGATAGGAAGGAGCTCGTTGTTTTTCAGGATCATGCCGATGCTCTTAACTCCCTCTGTCCTTCCCCTGATGAAAACCATCTTTTTGGCGCAGCAGACTACGTATGTAGTTTCTGTGAACCTTATTCAACGCAATGATGCTAATGCTAAGCAATACAGTGCTTCACACTAAATCCAACTAGTGCGAGTAGGTCTCGCGGTCGCTGGTTCAACGTCAGCTAATACATCCTAGCGTCCCTCTTTTTTATCATGTCCACCGCAGAAGGTGAGTTTGTTGACATTAACAAAGAAAAGAATCTCATGTTTCAGGTCTGCTTCTCGTGCATATACTTGCCTTATGGCATAACAACAGGAAGATAAAGCTATTTTTATTGGCGAGCTACTGGGTAAACACTTTGAATGTTTTGCGATTTGAAGTGGTGATCTAACCGAGCTTGAAGTTTATCGTTGTCGCCATGGTCATTTGCGATATACTTCTGGCGCTTCTGCTCGAAAACATATGTGGGCCCACATTGACTCCGATGGGTTCAGAGTTTATGAAAATGGAAGACCTGATAATGGGCAAGTTTATTAGCGCAGCACTGTTTGAACTCAGTGAGCAATTCAAGACGCTGCCTCGAGTTAGCTCTACTGATGAATCATGTTCAGCAGTGATCACTCTTATAATGTATCATTCAATACGACTACGCTCTGATGGCATACGCTCCATTGGTAGAGTGACGTCAACCTTGTTGAAGGGAAGTTTGCTATATCAGTCCGCATGACCAATCAGCCAGTCCGGGTTGTTATGGACCCTAATGAAAAATACATCGTCAATAGTGCCTTGGATGGAAAGATATATGTATGGGGCCTAAATGCAGCACTCAAAACTACTGACAATGATCATGTGAGTATGTTTATTCATTGTGTTTGTCTTTTTCTAAGTGGCTTTTGGTTGTCGTTTAGAGTGCGGATGAGGGCAGTATAAAATTTGATGTAAAGCTGAAGGCAAGTCGTCTGCGCTTCCCTTTGGCGTTGTATCTCACTTCTCCAGAGACGAATTCCATTGCCTTGGGACACGTACAGGTAATGGGAATATCCGGTCACGTGTCTGTTTGAAGACTCCTAAGTGACGACACAGTCCAGGAGGCGCATTTGAAGCACAGAGACGTGTTTTCTGCACCATTTTCGCGGCAGAAAATTCTAGGTACATTGTAGGAACGTATTGTATATTGTGTTGTGCATGAGATAATTTTTCAGCCGCAAAATTCAAGTTTCTAAGCTACTGCAGAGGTTTTGACGGCACAAAGTACTAAAAAATCACTATACTTTGTGCTTCTTGCATCCAGCACTGGTTCCACAGCGAAACACATGTCTCCCAGGCAAGAATCCTCATTCACCTCTCTGGGACACGCGTTTATTGGCAGGAGCTCAGGTGGCAGCGTGTCTGTCAGACTCGATTTTTCGTGTTCATGGGACATGCAGCCTGTTTCAACAGCTGAAGTCAAAGTTCTGCTTACCTGAGGCGTTTACAGTATCTGCCTCGCAGGTGACATCTTACCCCGCACCCTGTACTACATTCCATCATCGATGCTAACGTTCCCGTCAACTTCCTCCTCATGCATCAGCCTCTGCTTGTCAGCATATGCAATGAGCATGCGCTATCCGGGGTCATCGCACAGCTGCCGTGTCCCACAACAAGAAAGCTCGCCAAAGTTCTCGTATTACATAATCAAAGGTGCAACGGCAACTCCCGCTGGTCCTCGAAACTTCAGCGACAGGCAGGACACACAGGCAACTCACTTTCAATCTATTTGATACTTCATCTGGTTTGTTTCTTAACCTTACATACACAGACAACAGAATCTCATTATTTAGAAAAGATATTCTAGAATGCCTCTCCCACACTATGATTTCCTCATCAAGGTAAGCACGCTACATACATACTCCAGACCTTGCGCCCATAACTTTCTTTGCAGCTGCTCTTGATTGGCGACTCAGGTGCATTTGCGCCATGGTTCTAGTTTGTTATAATTTCAAGCCGTCACTTAGGTGTTGGGAAGTCCTGTCTTTTGCTCCACTTCTGCGATAACGAGTAAACACCATCGTTCAGCACCACAGTCAGGATCAACTTCAAGGTCCGCACGATCGAGCTAGATGGAAAGCGCATTAAGGTTCAAATTGTGAGTGTTGTCGTCTCAATACCATCATAAACAGTACACTTTACTATATCGTATAGTGGGACACTGCTAGCCAGGAACGGTTCAGAACTATAACAACTATGTGCTACCATGTAGCAACGGGCATTCTTCTTGTGTACGACGTCACAGATGAACGATCATACAATAGTACGTGCTATTAGCGTCATTTCCATCATTATTGTTCCACCCTGACGCATCTTGTCTCTAGGTATCCGCACTTGGCACGCTAAAATCAAACAACGTGCTTCAGAGGACGTCAACGTGATACTCATCGGCAATAAGTCAGATTGGACTGACAAGCGAGTCGTACCAGACATCCAGGGACGTGCACTTGCCGATGAACTTGGCATGAAGTTCATGGAGACGTCCGCCAAGGCGAAGGAAGGTGTAGAAGAGGTCTTCTTCACCCTTACAAGGTTTGTTTCATTGTGCATATTTATGAACTTGACTCCAATTCATGACTGTACAGAGACTGCAAGACTCGGCTTATGGACTTGCAAGCAGACTCAGCCGTCTTAGTGGGAGGTGCTCCCAACGCAGGCGGGTCCGTGAAGATCAATCAACCTGTGACTTCAGCGTCGATTGGTTCCTGCTTATAAGTGCCTATACTAGCATAATCCGTGCTTCTGTCGTTCATGTTACTTTTGTATTCCCCTTCCATGTAGTCCTGTTCTATCTCGCGGTGCACAGCGCCAAAGTATAGGTGCCAATCTAATCTAAGATTTATAACGAATCAGCGGTTTGGTGTTAATTGTGTCCACTCCCCGTCATGCTCAGGCCATGCTGACTATTTGCCATCTATTTGCATGCCCTCCAGGCCCCTCCTTTTCACCTGTAAGTTGCTCTTCCATTTCATCGTTATAAATACCAATCTAATCTGTTCATAGGTTCACCGATGCACCGCCCGTCCTTACGTGCCTCATCCAACACTTGCTTGATGACCCCATCATTCCATTCAATGTCAGTGTCATCGACCATCTGGGTTTTATGAATCATGGTCATTCTTTTTGCTCAGACAGATGGTCAGCTGCTTTTGTTTACATTTACTCTTGAAATATCATCTTTATCAGCTGCCTGGGCTTTGACACGCTACTCCAATACCGCTCCAAATTGCATTGTGTACGTATATCATAATCTCGTTGGACAGTTTACGCTGACGGACATGCCATTAGTAAGACTTTGACAGGACATACATGTCCAATGCACAATTCTGTGATCATGGTCAGTTCTTGATTGTTCTTCTTGCTTCATGCTCAGATATATGGTGATCTAGTGCATTCATAAATGGGTCGAATTCTCGGATTATCAGTCATCTGAGCTCGGATACGCTACTGTTACTTTCCTTGGTCTATGGGATAGTCGTGTCGCGCCCCACCTAAAGTTTTCACGAATGTGGAATTCTTGTATGTACACGCATCTCGTTCGGTGCTTTACTCTTACAGTCGTGCTACTCGGCAGGATGGAAACAGAATCGTTGCAAGGGCCCTAATTCACAGGAACCTGGACGTGTGCAGGAAGATTTATTCACGAGCGAGATCATCCGAACAAAACAATGCTTCGGTTTCTTTGGCAATGCTATGAAAGGTGCTGCACTTCATGTTTGCTGCTTCTGATGTTTCTCGGGACCCTGCCAGGCTGTGGTCAACCGACTGGTTTTGGCAAGGCAATTCTCACTCACCAAAAAACTTTGACTGGCTTGTAGACTACCTCAACTACATTTATTTTGACGACCCCAAAGCGGTACTATACAACGTTCTTTTACTGCTGGGTAACATGGGAGTGTGCTGCAGCCCCGCTGAACAACATCTGCTCATCGAGAGATCCATCGCCTACATGGATAGTAACATGCCTCTTCATTTATGCCATGTCGCTCTTCGCGCTGCTCACAGTGCCCGAGAACAAATTGCCTCGATTGATGCCATTGATGATGCGACGATACGGGACATAGTTTTGACCAAGCTCTCCCGATGGCGCTCCCCAGATGGCTCTTTATCTACCATGATGGTAGCGGCTTTCCAGGCAGATTGTTCATTTTTCTCTCTCACTCGTATATATCGAAATAGAATGATTGTGATATATTTCTATTAGGCCAGCTTGATGAGACTAGTACACGAGTGCCAATGATCCTTTACTAGCTGTGATTGTGCCGTGTCACAGATCTTGTATGAACTGTGTCATTGTAGTCTATATTTTCTTTGGCATCCATGACTATGTACCAACAATTCAATTTGTTGCAGCCTTAAATAGCTTGGTAATGTGAAGCATTTGTTATGCAGAATGGGACTACTCAAAGACAATGAAACTACTCAACAAGTTAGATGTAATTAGGCTGATAGCACAATATCTCAATCTTGTTGCAAACTCTCATACCTATCTAGACTTGATGACCGGTGCTAATGCCACTTTCCACGATAAAGCCTTCTATAGCTTTGTAGCTTAGGACACTAATAACAGAAAATGAGAATACCCAACAAAGTTAATGTAAAGACCCTTCTATTTCTTCCCGGGCACGATGATGCGAAGTCATGATCTTGTCATAGTCTCTTCAACGTAGTCTATATTTGCAGGCATAAATGGTTATGTATCAACGGCTCGAAATTTTTACTGTATAAATGGGTATATTTAGCAACCGCAGAATTATATTCTTCTATAGTTCACACGGCTACAATATCGAGGACTCATGGATTCACTGATGATGAAATGGAGATTCTAGCATTCAGACCATTGCGAAGTATCTGAATTTGCTAGTCTCTACAAAATCATCAATGCATCATAATTACAATAGATATATCAACTACAAAGCATACACACAGCCAGGCAATGACAGGCACAACATACAGCAAACAGATTACGAAAGGACGCCACGAATCGCATGCCATAGAGAACAAAATGGAAAATAAAGGTACGAGAGAAAGAAAAGTAACAGAGAAATAATGGTATGAGGAAAATAGATAAAAAATATGAGATGGCAGACATACAAAGATTCGATGCAATAATGCTGCGGTGCCATGACCATAAAACAGTGCAGATGAGGGGTATCGACTTCGACTTTGAGATTTGAAATATGACTGCGACGTTATATGTCGGATCAGTACCGTGTATCAAGAGAAAATATGCGTAGAGCAGGCGTGTCCGAGAGCGAGCGAGTAATTGAGGGGGATGACTATATGCGGGCGGGGATTAGTGATGCACCGAGACAGGGCGCGTGAGGTCTAAATTAGTATAACCCTCTCCGGGGTCTGCATCGACGTCATGTCGAAACTTGAAGCGGAACGATTGATGCTGCGTCATTGCACAGCAAATCTAAGCAGGCACAACCCTTCTCGTTGCCTTCACCCCTCTAGCGTTCACAGCCACCATTACATTCTCCTTCTCATCAACCTCACTCGGCACGCTCGAACTAACACTGACCCTCCTCGTACCAGAGGCAACAGGCGTCTTCAAATTACTCTCTACAGAGCTCGTCGACACCCGCCGCGTCGCACCCATCCCAAGACCACTGGGTCTTGGAGTCATGTTTGATTTGCCGAGGGACGAAGGTGCGTGGGATGTAGATGAAGCTAGGGATGTTCGGGTGGGGGGTGTGGTTGTAGCAAGTGATGAACGGGATTTAAGAGCTGGAGGTCCCATTTTGCCAGGGGGGTTGGTGGTGGCATTGATACGCACGTTGCGACTGAGACTGCTCAGGCTCGCGCGAGGCGCTAAAGATGTAGAAGGCGTTTCCGATTTCCCGTCTTTCGATGCGTCTGACATAGATGAAGGAGGTCGGGATGAAGAAGGGGTTCCAATCATCGATTCACGCCTTATAGCCCTGCTTGGAACTGGGGTATGTGATGCCGCAACACTCTTCAACGAAATCTTTCTCTTGATCTAATATCATGTAAGACACAAACCAAAGACATCGAAGGAGGACTCACGAGTTCAAGTTCTTGCTGTTTCGAATCCAAAGCGATATTAAGTCCGTTGACATCCTCCCGATCTCTCTCTCGTTCCTTGCGCAACTGCACGATAGTCACTTCACGCGCAGCACTCGTCTGCTGCATCTCATGCACTGTTCTCCTTAGCTTCGCAACTTCATCCATTAACGACCCCACGCGCTCTTTACTCATGCTCAACATAATGTCGCCCTCTGCCTTTTCCCGTACTGCGACTTCAAGCTGCATGCGCAGGTCTTTTTCTTGGGTTTGGAGATCTTGGAGAGTACGGGTTTGGGAGGAGAAAGCGCGCGAATGCTCCACTTTGAGAGTAGCTAGTTCTTCCCGGAGGGATTCAGCTTCATCTCTGTGTGTGAGGAGGGTGGTGGTGAGGGTTGAGATGGAGGCGTCGCGCTCTTTGATGTTGGATTCAAGGCGGGAGACATTTTCGTTCGCAAAGGCGAGTTCGGCAGTTAGGGATGTAATGCGGGATTCGTGCTGTGATATGTTAGTGAGATCAATTGGAAAGAAGGTGACGCCGAACCTCTTCAGTGGTTCGCTGGAGTTCTGATTCGAGTTCGATGCGCTGGTTCTCGCCTTCACTCCATTCTTCTTCCATGTTCAGGAACTTGGTTTCGAGAGATTCAAGGTCGGATTTGAGAACTTCCTTATCGTTCTGGAGGTCTTCAATAGTGTCGTGGAGTTCTGCAGATTCTCGGTGGGCTGCGTCGAGGTCCCCGTGCGCAATTTCGATGGCGGTGGCGTGTTCTGAGTTGATACGCTCCAACTCTGAAGAAATACGCTGAACAGCGTCAGCGAGGGCGCTTTTGTCCGTCTGGAGAGCCTCGTGAGCATTGACCATTCGCATTCGTTCTTCTGCCCATGCCAGTTCGATAGCCTGATGCCTCTCTCGTTCCTCCCTGCTTGCTATGATGAGAGCTTCCTCCGCCATCGAAGACCGCACAGAATTAGTTGTGAGGTAATCCATCTGTTCTCTGGCTTCCTGAATCCCTTCGCGCAAGACACGTTCCGCGTCATCTCGACCCTTCAGCTCCTCATGCAGTTTGTTCAGCTCCGCTTCCTTTTCATGGAGCTGTTCGCGCAAGTGAGCTGTATCCGCATGGTCTTGCAACGCTTCCTTTTCGCGTTCGAGCTGTGATATTTGGCGATGGAGCATGCGAAGGGCTTCACCGCTCGCCTCGTCCATGACACTGCGCTCGAGATTTTCTTGTCGGGAAGTGTCGACTTCTTCTTCGAGGTTACGACACATGCGCTCGAGTTCACCTGCTTTCTTCTTCCAATTACGCAAGACGTTTCTGCTCTTTTCTTTTTCCTTTTCGGCGACTTCTGTGCGTTGGGTAAGAGCTCGAACAAGTTCATCTCTAGCCCCGAGGTCGATCTCGTACTGCGCACAGAGTTCCTGTGAGAGAGCTAGTTGGGTACGAAGGTTCCAGATAATGTCTTCCTCTTTGGAAGCTGTGCGGGAGTGTGTTGGTTGTGGAGGGGTAGGAGGAATCATTGTTCCTGGTGTGTAGTAGGTCGTTGCATTTGCGCGGAATGGGTCTGGTGGCTCCGAAACGAGTACGAGCGAAGCGTTTGAAGTGTCATTGATGTCAGCTTCTGGTGCGTGTTTTCTGAGCATGATTTGGAATACTGTGTCGCTGAGTGCGCGGGAGCGACGGGTT